TAGGAAAGCTGCCTCCATCCTCAAGCACCCCACCCACCCCCAGCACAGACTGTTCATACCTTTACCCTCCGGTTGAAGGTACGGAAGTGTGAAGTGCAGGACCTCTAGACTGGAAAACTCTTTCTTTCTGACTGCCATCAGACTCCTAAACAGCTGACTCATGAACTACCACATATAATTCCACCCGTACTGTTTACCCACTCAGTTCGCACATGAATAATTGCACACTCGCTGCTGAATATTTGCACACACAGCTTCCATGTAGCATATATTCTCTCTTCATTATATTGTGCTCTTGTTGTATTCTTCATTATGCTTCTTTCATTGGCTGTTTTACAGTGCCTTAGAGTTTGAGTTTTAGATTTTGTGTTACCTATGTATCTGTGTTATATTTCACTTATATTGTGTGGCATTCATGTGGACGGCAAAGTAAGAATTGCATTGTACAGGGAATCACGTTTCCTTACTGTGCATATGACAATAAACACTTGACCTTGACCTTGATTAGTTTAAATCTGCCACTAATGTAAATGGGTGAGCGGTATTACTCAAAGTGTGGGTTCTTCCTGGTGGGGGCCAAATACTGATCCCTATCATGGAAACCACTGAATTTTAGAGGGACAACTTAAGGTTAGGTCTTCAGGAAATGGATGTAAGTCAATGTAATGGTGCCACAAAGAATGAAGGCAAATGTTTGTAACAATTTCTATAACATATGTAATCAATCTCACAACCTGCAGCATATCAAAAATGTGTGAGACATAGTGTTGAGTTTTAATAAAAGTGTGCACTAGACTAGTGGTCTAGGGCAGCTGGAGCCTGATGAAGAGGCCAGCAGACAGTCGACTAAAGGAAGTGAGAATGAAATACAGAGTTCGCAAATACGGAGCAGAAATACAGAAATAAAATGTCCGAGCGGAAAGAAGCAAGACAGGGAGGGAGAGCAGAGGTCATGCATGCGCCTCTTCTCCCATCAACCTTCGCTGTAACAGCAATTCAACCCACTTGAGGAGAAGAGTAAGGACAGCTTTGCGGGAAATGTGGAGTGAGACAGGCCACTGTTAACGCCATGAAATTTGGCACCCAATTTCAGCAGACTGAAGGGGCATTGTTGTGATGGGAAAGAAACTTGATCTCCTTTGTATGTAGTGTATGGCCAGGAAGCACTGCCCCGTCCGCCCCTACAGACAACTCATGAGAACCAAGTGGGAGGTATGAAGGGAGGACTTTAGGAGAAGGAAGAGTCACCATGTGTTTAATTTATGTTTCCACAAAAGCTTTTCAATTCCAGATATTGTTATTTACACTCATTGAAGCTCAGAGTTGGATGTTTTTTTGTCGGTCTTTAAAATTTTCAGTCCATTTTCAATGAATTCATCTCAACCTGTTTAGACTTCCATTTTATTCTGACAGCAGCTCTGAAACAAAACAGTTTTGATTTTACAAAACTAGGGTAACAAGGGTCTCGTCTCCCGGCTAACTCAGGAGTCCGTCAACAAATACCGAGGTGCTGGTGAAGTTGTGAACAGTCCACGTCCATCCCTCATCAATACTAAACCTGTGGACAATGAGAAGAGTGTTCACAATCAGCAACACTCAAACAGAGACACTGATGAAGCTCACGCCAAAGGGAGCACCAGCCTTGCGCTAGAGTGAGTAATGACTATATTACAAATCAAACACTCCCAGATGTGACAGTTTACTAAAAGCCCTCCTGTTGTCCAAGTGGCATTTAACAAATTCTGAGCATGTGTGTGTTTTATTACTTATCCAAAACTAAAACCAGTGTACTGAATTGATTAAACATTGTATTAATCTGCACTATCACGATCTGTCACTATCATGGTCTTGCTAACTAGCTTACTAACCTAGAGTGTTACTTCCAGGTCCAAATATATTAACAAGTGTATAATAGGCAATGGAGTTAGAGGTTAAGTTAAAACAAAGCCCCATTTATGACTAGTGCATCAGCTGTTTCTGATTTCGCCAGTGTATGCATCAGAGTTTAGGCTGACATTACCAACTGCATCTCTGTTTTTATTGGATTTGCCAAAGTTTAACCAGGCCACCACTCTCTGACTTAGTGTTTACCAAACATATGCAACATAACATTATCCTAAAAGCCATGCATCTTGTAAAGTTAGCAATAAAACCTCACAGATTTTACAAGGGTTTCTTCTTAAAATGATATGATCTAAACATTAAATTATCAGCCAGAAAAT